TCCTCTGATGCTGCTTGGCCTGCTGTGTTCATCCAGCTCTGCACCTTATTATCTCACCACTTATCATCCTACCTAGTTTTGTGTCACCAGGAAATGTGGAAGTAGAAGATTCGATTCCTTCATCCAAATCATTTGTGTATAATCTGAATATCTAGGAGCCCAAACACTGATCCCTGCAATACCCGGCTAGTCACTGCATTCCACTCTGAAAAAGACCTATTTAATCCTGCTGTTTCTTGTAGGCCAACAATTCTCAGTCCATGATGGTATATTTTGTTGCATTCCATGTGCTTTCATTTTGCATATTAAATTCTTAGGGGTGATTTCATCAAAATCTTTCTGAAAATCCAAATATAACAGCTGCACTAGTTTTCCAGCATCTACTCTACTAGTTATTAATGACCATTCAATTTTTAATTTTGAGGCTGACCTGATCTGATGGCATTTGATATTTAAATGTTCTTCTGGCCCTCTCTGATCATGAGTCATTGTGTTACTGAGATTGGTTGGTGCATGGGTTTGATGTGGGATGGGGGGGCAGAGAAAAGTGTTGTGTAAATGGAATTAGCTCACAGATCAGCTATGATCTGATTGCATGTAGAACAGAGTTGATGGTGTGAATGGCTGCTGCCTCCTCTTCCTGTGCCCCATCCTTCCTTCACTCACATGTAGCCCATCTGTCTGTGCCTATCTATTTGTTTCTGTTTCTGTCTCCATAGCTTACACTCTCAGACCACCTGGAAACAATCACAAACATCAGTCAGCCATTTTATGTTTGTTGGTGGTGACCATTTTTATGTCCCCACAGCCTGGGATCACTTATTACAGAGATTAACAGCTCAATGGTGTATTCTGAGTGTTTCAGACGTTGCAGAGGGACAGATAGTACAGGCGATGTATCTTTAAGATGGTGGATAGGGTGCTAATCAAGCAGGGTGTTTTATCTTAGATGTTAAGCTTCTTGAATGTTGTTGGACTTGGACTCATTCAGACATGAAGAGTATTCCATTACACTCCTTTCTTGGGCCTTATAGGTGGTGGGAAGACTTTGAGTAAGTCATGTATTGTAGATTATCCTGCTTCTGACCTGCTTTTGCATCCACAATATTTGTGGCTGGACGAGTTAAGTTTGTTGTCAATGGTGACTCCAAAATGTTGAAAAATGGAGCAATCAACAATGTTTGGGCCTTTTTGACAGTCGAGGGGATGTAGTTAGATTCTCTCTAGTTGAGATTGCACATTGTTTTGTTGCACAAGTTTTTATTGGTGCACAGATTTTGGGGAGTTAAGACGTGAGTTACTTGCTACAAGATTCTAGTCTCTGACCTGCTGTTGTAGTCCTGCTATGAATATGGTTAGTCCAGTTCAGCTTCTGGTCAATGGTAACCTCCAAGATGTTGCTAGCAGGGATTCAGCAATGGTAATGCCATTGAATGTCAAAGTGAATGGTTAGGCTGTCTCTTTTTGGAAATGTTCATTGCCATCTGATGGTATTCAGTTTAGCAAAGTACTAATTCAGCAGTTATGAGAGGTTGGCAATCAGCATGAGATTTCCTTGCTTATGTTTGCACAATTATCCCAACATCTCTCACCACAACTCTATCATTTTGCCTTTTTCCTTTCCGATGGCCAAGAACTGCAATCTGCCCAGACAATGGCAGAGGAGGAATAGGTGGAAGAGTAAGATGACAGTGGTGATGAATAAACACTATCACATCTCACACTTGATCTCTCACTGTCTCTTAGCTGCCAGCTCATATACTGATACTGCACATAATTTAGATAGCTTATAGGTGGGATATGTACTGGTTGGCAGCCAGATCAGAAGGCAAGGATAGTGCAGGTGCCAGCTTCCCTGACGGCATGTTCTTTTGTACGGGACTCATGTGCACTTTGGGACATTACCATTGCACTACAAGAACCCCTTGTTATTAAATGTATATCAATTGTGGTGGTGGATATTAATTGTGAACTCATATGTGTATATGACTCTTGCTCTTGTTTCTCATGTTCTAAGAAAGCATTCATCCTTCCAACACTTCTATTCTGCCAGATGTTTGACTTCTCTGTCAAGCAGTCAGCCCAGATTGATGGCAATGCTAATTATGGGGTAGAATGAAGTGATGCTTCTTGGTCCAGAATAGCATGAAGACATCCTTCAAACCATCCAGCATATACCTTCAGATTAAAGCAAAGA